AGGCGCCGGGTTTCTGCCCGTCTTTTGCACTCGGGGCGCCTAGGCGCCAGGTGAGTGGCGCCTAGGCGCCCAGTTTCTGCCTCCCCGGCAGAAACATGGCGCCTGGGCGCCACTCACGGCGCCTGGGCGCCCGGCAGAACAACCCCCTTCACCACCCTTTCTTCCCAGCTTTTCTTCTTCTCTTCTTCTCACATGATCATTTCATTATCCAGGAAGCCATAACCAAGAAGATGACTAGCGCTGCAGGACTTGTATGTTCTTGACACCAAGATCTGAGTTCAAACTCTAATGCTGATTTTGTTTCAAATGCACTTGTAAACAATGTGTCTATCCAAGTTTGGCATAATAGATTAGGCCATCTCTCTTTAAGAAAATTAGAATGCTTGAAAAATAAACTTTCTTATGATGCTTCAAAATCAAACAAATGTTCTCCATGTTATATTTGCCCTCTTGCCAAACAAAGAAGGCTGTCTTTTGAGTCAAATAATCATTTCTCAAGAAATCCCTTTGATCTTGTCAATTATGATATTTGGGGGCCATACCAGGCTGCATCATATATAGGACACAAATTCTTTTTAAAACTGGTGGATGATTGTTCAATATTCACTTGGCTATATTTGTTGAAGCAAAAATCAGATGCTGCTAATGTCATACCTCGATTCTTTAATATGGTTGAAACACAATTCAATACCAAAATAAAGGTTTTTATATCTGACAATGCTCCTGAATTAGCCTTCAAAGACTTCTTTGCTACAAAAGGAGTTTTACATCAATTTAGCTGTGTTGAAAGGCCTCAACAAAACTCAGTGGTGGAACGCAAGCACCAACATCTCTTAAATGTCGCAAGGGCCCTGTATTTTCAGTCAAGAGTTCCCATAAAATTCTGGTCTGATTGTCTATTGGCTGCCACTTTCTTGATCAATAGAACACCATCTCCAATCTTGAATAACAATACACCATATGAGGTTCCTTATAAGGAGGCTGCAGATTACTCCTTAATAAGGGTGTTTGGATGCTTAGCATTTGCCTCTACCTTAACTGCAAATAGAAACAAATTTCAACCAAGAGCTCGAATGTGTGTGTTTTTGGGATATCATTCTGGCGTCAAAGGTTATAAACTGTATGATGTAGTGTCAAAACAGATCTTCTCATCACGAGATGTGATGTTTCATGAAGACATTTTTCCATTTCATACAGTGGTAAAGGATAATCATCTAATTGATCCTTTTCCTGATCTAGTGTTACCAGCATCTTCATTGTCCACTCATCAAGAACAATTAGATGTAATTCTTGAGAAAAATCATAGTGAGCAAATGCCATTGGTGGATTCATCACTTCCTCCTCAGACAGAATTAACTTCTCAAAATGCTGAAAATACAGTTGAACAATCTGATAATGTGCCTCACGTTGTTGAAGCAAGAAGATCACACAGAGTAATCAGACCACCTACATATCTAAAGGATTTTCATTGCAATTTGATAGATCAAAGTTCCCAACCATGTCCTCAGATACCTTATCACATTGGTCAGTTTCTATCCTATGAAAATTTGACGCCCATATACAAAACTCTTGTTCTTAATGTCTCAACTCATCATGAACCACAGTATTTTCATCAGGCAGTGAAAGATCCTCGATGGCATGAAGCTATGAAACTTGAACTAGATGCTATGGATCACAATCATACATAGACTGTGGTTGCTTTACCAAACGGAAAACATTCTGTTGGGTGTCGATGGATATATAAAATCAAGTATCGATCAGATGGTACTGTTGAAAGGCATAAAGCCCGTTTAGTGGCTAAAGGTTATACACAACAGGAAGGGCTGGATTACTTTGACACGTTTTCTCCGATGGCAAAGATAGTGACTGTAAAGCTGTTATTAGCACTTGTAGCTTATAGAAAATGGCAATTGGTACAACTGGATGTTAACAATGCTTCTTTAAATGGAGACTTGTTTGAAGAGGTATACATGGACTTGCCACTTGGTTGCCAGACAACAAAAACTGCCAGACAGGAGGAGAGTTGGTATGCAAACTACACAAGTCCATTTATGGGCTCAAACAAGCATCACGCCAATGGAACTCTAAATTTTCTCAAGCACTGATTAGTTTTGTTTCATTCAATCAATGGCTGACTATTCATTATTTACTAAAGGGCAAGGAGATCAGTTTATAGCCTTATTGGTGTATGTGGATGACATAGTCATCACTGGACCTAATGTTCAAGCTATTAATTCCTTGAAGGACTTCTTACATTCTGAATTCAAATTGAAAGACTTGGGGAACTTGAAATATTTTTTGGGAATTGAAATAGCTCGATCAAATTCTGGTATTGTGATATCACAAAGACATTACACCTTACAACTGCTTGAAGATACAGGTTACTTAAGCTGCAAACCAGCAAATGCTCCAATGGATCCAAAAACACATCCTAGTTTCCATGAATGTGATCTTTTGACAGATGCTTCTCAATACAGACGATTAATTGGAAGGCTACTCTACTTGACAATATCAAGACCAGACATTACATATGCTGTTCACAAACTCAGCCAGTTTCTATCTCAACCTAGGTTGCCACATCTTAAAGTAGCACATCATTTGCTTCGATATTTGAAGAGCAGTCCAGGTCAAGGCATTTTTTTCTCAGCTAAAAATGATGGTTCTGATCTAAAATTACAAGCTTTCTCAGATGCTGATTGGGGTTCTTGTGTTGACACGAGAAAATCAACAACAGGATTTTGTATCTTTATTGGGAATTCTATGATATCTTGGAAATCAAAAAGGCAAGCCACTGTGTCCAGATCATCAGCCGAAGCTGAATATCGAGCTGT